CACAGTGAGTGTCATCATGAGCAAGAGGAAGGGTGGAAGATTTTTTTCTGGTGGGGGCACCCCCAGACGCCCTGGAAAATTTGGTCCCCCCCAATGTTGACTCCATGGCTACGGCCTTGCTGCAGATAACAGGATAAATTCAAATAATAGGATCAACCAAAAGTGCCCACAGGCATTGTATCCCCCAACACGTGGAGGATACGATGGAGGTATTGTATCCTCCACACGTTCGCAAATCTGGACTGAAAAACGCTGCCTTTGTAAAAAAGCAATGGCTATTTAAGAGTGTACCACCACCTCATGTTACGCAGTGAATATATATTTCCAAACACACACCTCATGGCACACACCCAAGAGATAACTGCGCAGAGATAAACTAACGTAGTTAGATTGCACTCACGGCTTGTCGTAATGTCGTAAGGATCTGCCGATTGCTATCTCCGTTCGCCTGGTGATAGCACGGAGCCATATAAAGCATGCACGCTCTGTTATCTCAAATGCAGCTGAAGGGGATTCTCGTAATATTTGCATTGCAAACTATACTTAGCAATAGGTTATTCTAATATTAGTATTATCCTCATTATATACGAACTTAAAATATAAAATAGGTTTTGGGCAACTTGTTTAAATTTAGTCATACCTCGCTGAACGTGGGGCTACGTTCCTGGAAAATGCCGTGCTTAGCGAAACAGCGTTCGATAAATAATTATAATAGACCTTATGGGAAAATAGGGTTGCGTTCCTGAGTCTTAAAATGATCACCCCCTTCGTCTTTGTGTAACGAATGCTATATGAATTTCCCCCACTTGGTATCACATAAAATACAGACACATTAAACATGTAACTAGAATAAGGGAAAATATATATTAAGAAAAAAAGTGAAATTGAAATGTTTTACTTACAATAATTGATAATGGTGATGATTATCACCCTATCCCTCTTTGTTTAGTCTCCATTGTATTGCATGTCAGGAATGACCTCCTTCACAGATGGATCACAGATCACAAATTTTGTGTACTGTATTGAATCGGACCTGGATCTTGTGTTTGTTTAAGATTTTGGAAATCTTTTACCCTGGGGTCTACAAACTGAGTTGTACCTGCGGTAGCAGTTACATTGGGGAAACGAAATGCAATGTCTCGGACCGTGTTCGTGAACACAAGGCAGATCTGAAACATGGCAGAACCAATACCTCTGCCGTAGCTGACCATTGTTATAACGCTGTGGGCTCGCATGATATTGTTTCTTCCGAGACCAAGGTACTCTGCAAACCTTCTGGCTACTATCAAAGGTTTGTTCATGAAGCCATCCAGATATATAAACATAGACATAACTTCAACCTAGAAGATGGATACAAATTGAGCAATCATTGGAAGGATGTTATTAACCAGGTAAAGCCTTAACTGGTTGTGGTTTCCATCCTACCTGCCGTTGACGAGTAGATTTTTTCCGAGTTACTTTCCCTCCGTGTCCCACACTCAGCTTCCCACTTCCCCCTCCCCAGCCTCACACCTTCTCCCCCTAGCGCTCACGCAGCCCCCCTTCCCCTGCCCCACACCCCCCCCCCTCTCTCTCTCCCCCCTTGCCTCCCCCTTTCTTACCTATATAACCTCTTTCCACGGCAGCTGTCTCGCCTACTTCAGCATTTTTCTTGCTGTGGTTGTTCCACCTGATGAAGATTGCTTGTGTTGCAATCGAAACGTCGTGATTTGTTTTATTTTATTTCTACCTACGTGACTTTACCGAAATAACCAAAGAGTATGGATTCCTGTAGTCACGAAAGCTTTAAATAAAAATACTCCACATCTAATTCGCGAGCACATCACCAATGCCGAGGTCCATCGGGGAACAAGCATTTCTGGCGGTGACTGAAATTGTCAGGGTCGGGAGATTTCACCTCTTCAGAAACGTTGCCTGGGCGGACGACGCAACTGCTCACAGCAGAGCCCTGTGCACCACCACCACCATCGTCGTCGTCGGCTTACCGCAGCACTGGAGCCGACCTCGAGGCTGATCCCAGTTGATGCGCAGCTACTTAGACCTTGGGCTGTGCTCAGCTTTGTGGCATGCCCACGATCGAGTCGCGTGTGTGGCCTCTCATAGGGGACAGCTCTTCTCCAGCCATGATGATGAATCAATTCACGGACATTCCTATTATCGGGGGGCCTTGGTTTAAGAAAGGCCTTTGATTTATTTGAATGTTTTCTTATTTTCACAGATTTTGTTGTCATAACCTGAGAGTGACTGAAACTACTTTTATTATGCATGGTTATCCCAAAGTTGACCTGATAGAGCTTTACATGGAAGTGGTCTTCCTGTAGTGCACTGTACAATTCCTCCTATTATGCACATTTTCACATGGATAAGAGCAGTAACGAAGACGCAGTGGCAAATTAATTCCGTTATCCACATGTACCGCTCTCCTGTTAGCAAGCACCTATGAAGGCGAGAACGGCACACGAGGGGATGGGTGGCCAACACCACGCCCGGCCGCCTTTGTCTCCCCAGTGGCGATGTTTACACACCGCACCAGGTGCTCATTTGAGGCTGAGTCGACCTAGAGGAGGCCCAGGCACCGGTTTGGATAATCGTCACTGATGGTGCTGGTGTCTCTGAGCAGGAGTCGAACTCGAGTCGGCAGGTTCATGGCACAACACGCGAACCGCTACACTGCCGTTCCCGGCTACACTGGCACACACACAAACTAAAGAGATAAAGATCCCCTGTACAGCCTGAGCAGGTTGTTGGCAAAATTCCTGTTAGGCCATAAGGTGAACTAGGAAAGAGTAGCTAGAAAATGATTTTCGTTCCCACACCTGGGCACTACTTTTTAAATGATTTTTTTCATAGACAAAACCATTATCGACTTTATGTTAAAAGTTCTCCGCAAAATACCCTGCAGTTTTTTGTCACAATCCATAAATGTATATAATTGTGAATTGGAAAAAAGAAAATCGTATGCTGCTGGTTTTGTTTGTAACTTTATTTATATACATTTTAGCAACACAAAATATCTCTCAAACTGACATTTATACATGTACCTAAACACTTGAGACAGGTTTTGGTGCATTATATACTCAAGTGTGAATGTAGACCATGAAATATGGCACATTTGTAGAAAATGCTTCAACTTCACGGATTGGCACTAAGCCAAATTAAACATAAACATAAATTTAGCAAAACTGTGTTATATATCAAAATTTTCAGTAGGTACTGTGTAATCACAGAAAGATACAAATATAAGCACACTTTAGCCCAAGTTGGCTGAAATTACTCGAAATGCTACACTGTCCCCTTATTTTGGAATGCTGCCAATTTTTTTTTACAATTCTACAACAGATTCTTTACAGCTCAAAATCACCTTATATTATAACACAGCGCATATTTACTCATCGGTATCATCCCTATCACTATCAGAGCCATCATCCCATGTAGGTCTTTCTTCTGTTTCCTGTGAAACATTTGCACAATTTTGGCACCGACATAAATCAGTACAAGACAGTCTTGCAGACATACAGGAACATCTTCCAGTCTCACATTTGCTATGCTTGCAACTGCAGTGGACTGCCTGCAACACACTTTCAGGGGCAGGATTTCTAGTCATCCAGGTCACTGTTAACTCACCATCCTCGATGTGCCATCCATTGCCAACGGGTGAAGGGGCACACATTATACCTTTCAGAGAATGTCTCATTATGGCTGCTTGGTAGTTTGCCCTTTTGCAGTGTTGGTACAGGGCGTCACTTGTCGGGGGCATGGATAGTTCTGGAAAAGCTGACGATGCCATACAGAATGCTTTGTATCTTGCATCGTTCACATTTTTGGCAGATGACTGGCCATACAGGTGGCACACATATGTGCAAAGTAGCTCAAAGGTAGACTGGTCTAGGTTAAAACTGCTACCCAGATTTGTAAAAGGCAGTCAGATATTCCTCTTTCTCACAAGCAACAGGAAATGCCTTTCTTTTGCCTTTGCCATAAAAGGCACTTGTAGAGTCACAACCTGAGAAGGTATGGATCCCAATAAGTGCCAAACAGACACTTGTGCCAAGAGCTGACGACACCTTAGCTAAGTCAATGAGCCTTGTTTTGTTGTCAACCCCCGTGAAAAAATACAACCTACATGGTAAATCTGACGGCAGACTTAAAGCAATCACTGCCACATCAGTATCAGGGCTCTTGATGACTACAGTTTGATGTTCCTGTGCAGCATATTGTGCATGTAAAAACACCCTGGTGTCACATTCCTCATGTTCACATGTCAGATCTTCAACAGCACTGAGAGTTTGTAAACCCTTCATTACAGTCACACAGTGACACAGGTCTCCATGTGCTATGTACAAGTTTAAGTCCTTGCCCACAGTGGTAAGATCAGCCTCTCGCCACACAACATAGAGGAGTTCTGCCAGTGCCTCTTTGTTTGTTCCATCTGATTGAAACTTTTTCCATTGTGTTGGTGTCTTCTGATCCCGTCCATAAATTTACACGTTCGTACGCAAAAAACCATGCCATCATCAAGCGCACTGTTGACAGGTGAAGCTGCCAATCCGGATTCTCGTGTTGCTCTCACAAATAGAAGGAGTATCTGTACCATGTCGATGTATGAACACCAGAAGGAAAACGTTGGGTTTTCTGCTCTTCTTCTTTTAACAAAGTCTTCATATTTCGAACACATTTTGTCAAATTTCTCATTTGCACACAAAACATCCATTGTTTTTTCAGGGAATGCACATTTGATCTCATTGATGACATCCAGACACTCATATCTCTCCTCTGGTGGCAGAGAATCTAAGAAGGTGAGAAGTCTGATGCGTTGCAGACTCTCATACAGAAGTTTGTGTGCCCTCATGCTGCGGTTGTAATGATGACCACTGATCACTCCATTGATGGATCCTGGGGCAACAACTTCGGACTCAATGAGTATGTCTTGCAGTCCTGCATCTCCAAACCTTTTTCCTAGAATGCTCAGGTAGGACATGCATGTGTGAAATTCACATAGTCTAATCACTTAGGGGTCTGCCTCCGACCCTTAGATGCAAGATACACAATGTCTTGACAGATAGATATCACTTTTAGGTTCAAATCATCTAGAATATCAACATAATGGGCCAGTGTTGGTTCCTCAGTTGCACCAATAATCCAGGAAATCAGATTGTACAGTTCAATTGGAAGGACAGATTTTGCCTAGCTCACATTTAGGTCATCTGATGTGGGTGGCCACGAGCATTTCATACCGGGAGAGTCACACAGAAGCATCTTTAATATTAATGCCGCACTGTAAAGTGTCCTCGTGTCCTCCGCAGTATTGATGGAGGCCATTGAACTTGGTCTTTGTGGACCAGCTTTTGCACTAGCCCTGTTTTCACAGTCACTTTCGCTAGTTACCTCAGTTGACTCTGTTGTTTCCGTACCTGATGGATGAGGTAGCCTGTCTATCAGCTTATCTGCAGACAATGTCTCAACTAAAACCATCTCACTTATGTTGCGCTTCTTGGGGGAGTGAAACACCAGCTGGGGGAAATCATGGGCCAACCTCCTCTTCAATTTATCCTGCCTGAATCAAAAAGATAGAGTGAAAGATGATCACAATGGTATAAATATATATTCACACTGAATTTGTTTTTAAGTTAAAATACACTGTTAACAGATTCTACACGTTATAAAATATGATTATGATTATGAATTCCATTTTTGTTAGAAAAACAATGTTGCATAAACGTTCTTTCCAAAGACATTTGTGGTATTCAAATTACCTGTAGTTTGAAGCATCAAGATCTTCATGTTTTTTCACCAGATTTAAAAAGATCCTTCTTAGCTGAGTCATTGTCAACACCTCTTGGTTTACAATTATTCTATGGGGGATGATCCTGTCACAGAAGATCTTGTAGCTGGCATCGAAGGTTGGCTCATTTCTGAAAAGAAAACACATTAAAAACAGAAAAGATGTATTACTGTATGTGCCATAACTATTGCACAATGGCTTCAATTTTAAATGTAGTATAAATAGTAGCGAATCGAAACCTGACAAAGTGATTTGAGATTTTTTTTTTATTCTTCAGCAATAAAATTATTTATAGTTTCTTCTACCTTAACAAATCACTAAACATTTTTTCATTTAGAATTACTGGTGCAATAGTTATGCAGTCAAGACTGTGTTTACAGACAAATCGACAATATAGATGGTCAATGCTTTACTTTTCAAATGTGAAAATGTGAGGGAATTATTAATTATTATTTAATAATATAAAATATTAATAACTCACTGTTCTTCTGAGGTCACAGTAACTGATGCACTAGACTTTGTCAAGAATTTGGTGTACTGTCTATAACAGGACTTGTGGTATCGCACCTCCAGAGACACAGTCTTTGTCTCGAATATGCACAAGAATGCTAGTGTCTTCCTTTATCTCAGCAGCTTTCAGCAACTTGCCTGTAAATAAATAAATACGAATTAAACTAATAAAAAACTGTGTTAAGAATTAAACAATATTGAGTGTTCTGGCTGTAGCTGTATGCAAAACAATGCAAATCTGTCTCTGACTGTAAAATAAACATTACATAAATTATGTAATTGTAATTGAAAGTTAGCCATGGTACCCAGCATAAGGGAATAAAAGTTCAAACGTGTGTGTGTGTTTTGTTTTTACCTACCTGCTGACGTTTCTGCCTGTGAAAGATGGTCCTTCTGGCCTTTGCCTCCCACAGTAATGTACTTGTCCGCTTTCATCTTGGACTAACGTTTACCTGTCGTCCCAAAAAAGCGGCCACCTTATTGGTCTAGCGGGAAGCACGTGGCGATTGTTCCGCGAAGCCTCATCACTGATGATCAAAATGTGATTACGCGAGGAAAGAAATATTGCCGACTTTAAACAGTAATAAAAAGTAAACTGCAGGATTACACATGGAGAATTTTTATTTTCACGCCCAAAAACAATAGATCTTTTTATTAGAATGAAAATAATTTAGTGCCCCATATATGGGAACGGGATTAAACGTAAAACGTCTTCACCTTACGGCCTATGTTAGCGAGCACCTCTTAAGGCCTGAACCGCACCCAAGGGAGGCAGCCAGCACCACGCGCGGCCGCTTTGGTCTCCCTGGTGGCGATGTTTTCAAAGCACACACCTCACAGCACTTATCCAAGAGATAACCACGCAGAGATAAAACTGTTGTAGTTAGATTGCACTCACGGCTTCTGCCCTAAGGATCTGCCGATTGCTATCTCAGTGCATCTGGTGATAGCACTGGGCGCTATAAAAGCACGCCCGCTCTGACATCTCACATCCAGCTGAAGAGGAGATTCAGGTAAGAGTGCATTGCACACGATGCTTAGCACAAGGTTCTTCTATGATCATTATAATCCTCATATTCGTATTTTTAATTGGTATACGTTAAAACATATACGAAGAAATGTTCTGTTTACAATCACTCGAGGGATATTTTCTAATGTATTTATGTTTATCTCGAGGAATAATGGGCAATAGATGCTGATGATGAAAAAAAACCTTGTAGATAAAATAAGAATAAAATGTTACCCTGTTTGTCGGTGATCATGAATGTGAGATTATGTATGTGCTATCCAACTGTGCTGCGCTTTTCTGAGATCACCATCAAAATAAGGTCCACGTTGTGTAAAGAGTTCCTTTACTGCACAGAGGGATGCATTATATTTCTGGCCCAGACTACAAAGCCACTCTTGCAGTATAACAAAACAATCACACGTTGCCTTTTACTATATAATACACAAACTATCTGGAGATATTGTTCATACATGTTATGTATAATACTGCTGCTACTGAACATAATCACCTAGACGTTCATCTATTGATATTCAATAATGTACAATCTGTGCAGTTCAGCAGTGATTGCTGCAGTTTTGGATTCCTCTGTTGGTTATATAGAAACACGCGTTTAGAGCATTTGGCTGCTATACATTTCCAGATGAGCTATACAGCTCAGTGTGCCTTACTTGGAAAAATAAAAAGTTTCGTTTAGTGTAAGAATCACTCTCAAAGGACAACAAATGGTGATATTAATTGAATATGCGTGTACGGGCCCTAGAAAACTTGAAGTTTGTATTAATAAAAAAAATATACGTTTATATGTTTCGACTTGAAAAAACTGATAGAAATGCACTAAAACAATATTTATAGAGCTAAATATATCTCGGGATGAAGCGGATGCCTTGTTGAAAACCCTTGTTGTCATCCAACTCCCTGTGGAGGATTTCCTGTGAGCGAGGCCACCCGTTGGTTTTGTTTCCTTGAGTTGAAAGTGCTTTATTTTGATCATCACAAGATAGAACGCTTATATGTTGAGCCAAGGTAAGTCACTTCAAGTGCATCTGACGAACGCGTGTGTTGCAATCGAAACGTCGTAGTTTTTTTACACGGTTGTCGTATCCTCAAATATTGTAACTCAATTTTAACCCACTTCCCAATGTGGTAGCGACTGCAAACTCGGTATACTTGTGTCATACTGATGACAATACGATATTCTATCATTACAATAAAAAAATATGTTTTTTTTATTTTTTTTTAAATATTATGTTTCGGCTTGGGTCTAATTGTCTACGCTTAACTGACGTTGGCTATAATTGCCCACGGCCACTTACGTTATGGCAAGCTTCGGGGCCACTTCCTGGAGTCGTGGAGTTCTGCCATTACGAGTACGGTACATTTCATTTAAGCGTGTTTAAAAAAAGTTTTTTTTAAATATTACTTAGTTTTTATTGTCTTTGAACCTATCTACGTGACTTCACCGCAAGACCCAAAGAGTATGAGAAAGAACACGTTCACGTTCCGATTTAAAACTTTCGTGACTGCAGGGATTCATCTTCTTGGTTCTTTCGGTAAAGTCACGTAGAAGGGGGGAAAAAAACATTATTAAATAAATTATTATGTTATTACGTTTTTATTTGTATTATTTGTGTTATGTTTTATTTATTATTTCCCTTCTACGTGACTTTACCGAAAGAACCAAGAAGAAGTTCACGTTTTTTTTCTCCATCCGAGTGGTGTAGCCTTGCTTGAATTTACCAACAGCCATACTCCAAGCTCAATGCACACGACTGATATTGCATTCATAAGATTATATATTTTGGGGTCATATATAGTATTTTGTATATGAAGGTTTTGCGTGATCCATTCGGCCACTAGAGGCGATTACATTTCCCGCAACATACACATTTTCCCTAAACCAAATAGTGAGCTTGAATGGGGCATATCGTTATTGAATAACCAGAGGGCTGGAGGTGTGAATCATAACCCTACTATGGTATAAAAGGCAGGTCCTACAACAAGTTTTACAGCCATTTGTCAATCCACTGCTGGATTAATACCTCGATATGCTCAGCCATGGTATGGGTTGGGACAGTTGGTAGAGGGGACAGGACTAGTTCTATTGTTATATGTAAGCCATGTCCAGGAATGGAACTCAGGTCAACGAGCTCAGTGTGCGAATCACTGCGCCACTGCTTCACCAACAACCGTTGTATTTGGTTCATTGAACTTAATGCTGCAAATGTATGATTTTGATGATTTCTCTTGGTGTTTGGCTATTACACAGGCAGTTGTCTGTTAATACAGGTGTGACGTGGACATCATGAACATCTCTGCGGAAACCAGCTTTAAGTGGGGTGCGACAAACTAGCCCAACTGCTGGTTCTGATGTTGATAAGGGGCATCGTGGCCCTTTGCAGTGGGCAACAAAAAGGTTGATGATTGCATTCGCAAACTCTGCTGCCGTTGGCAGAGCAAGGAGGATAATGGCTGTACAGGCGAAAGGCAAACCACACCGAGACTACCACTCGCTCTTCTCGGCACGCTCCTACCTCGAGAAGTACTACGAGCCGCTGCGCATTGGCGACAATAGCGGCGTGGAGGAGGTGGCTATGTTCAACATGCAGTGTCTGCACGAGGCCTACATCAAGGGTAATGCCCCACTCTTCTGGAGGTGTCGTTTATTGTGAAAATTCGGTCACAGTTCCTATGATCACTGTTACATTGCTTTTATGGCTTTATTTTGGTGATGTTTGTTTGTTGTAGTACGGAGTTAGACTGATGGCCTTAATCTAAGTTGTCTTGTGGTTGTTGTTGTTTGTCTTGCATCCCACTGGGATTTTTGCACACAGCGTTGGTGTACGGTGCTTTTTTTCTGGAATTTTTGCTGGTTTTTTTCCTGGATTTTCAGTTTGCACATAGTCACATAGTCACTTTAAGATGGTTTTTTGTTCATGTGTTTGTGTTTTGTTTGTTGCGGTTGCACCCGATTCAAGAGCCGAATGGCTCACAGGGCTATACATAATAAATTAACTTGAACTTGAACAACATTTCACCATTAGTCCACGAGACCTGACCAGATATTCTCATTCGTCGGTACCGCCTAAGGTGGCATAACTTTAGCGGACCCAATTTCTTTACATCGCCAATTCGAGTAAGTTCAATGTATGTTGAACTTTTTTTCACACCGCATGTATCCAACCGTGCTAATCGCAGGTGCTTGATAATGCCATGTCACGCGGCTATTACATAATTATCTGCAGCCGGTGTTATTGACGGATGTGTTGCGTTTGTTTGTTATTCATCCTCGTGCCGGGTGTGCGTGCGTGCGCGTGTGGCGCAGGGCCCGTGAAGGGGACCAGGATGCTGGATGTGGGCTGCGGCCCCACCATCTACCAGCTGCTCTTCGCCTGCGACAGCATCTGCGAGATCACCATGGCCGACTTCACGCCCGCCAACCGCCGCGAGGTGGAGCTGTGGCGTGCAGACGACCCCAGCGCCTACAACTGGGACTCCTACATCCGCTACGCCTGCCATCTGCAGGGAACCCAGTGGGTGGCAACACCAGCCGGCATGCACGCCGTGCACGAGCACAGAACTGTGCAGGGACGGCAGCAATGTTAGCTATCGGTCATGGGCTTCGCAACTGGTGTGCTGAAAGTCCCAGGTGTGCCGCGGTATTTCAGAAATTATAGAAAAGAACCCCACTGCTCGCAAGCTAGGGGGCCGTCCATAAATGACGTCACACACCTAGGGCGGGGGGGGGGGTCAGACATTTGTGACGATGGGGGGGGGGGGTTGAGAAATGTGACGTCACATCAAAATGCGCAACTTTAAATAAATATAGACAACACGTTCTACTTAATTAAATAGACTTTGTAATAAATGTTTTCTCCTACAACATCAAAGTGCAGCGCCACATTAAATACGCACTACAATGACAATAGTTTAAAGCGATTTGAAGCATGTGTGTTTTTTTGGGGGGGGGGCAGAGCTTTGTGACGTCATATTTGAGGGGGGGTTTGACTTTTTGTGACGCCGTGTGACGAAGGGGGGGGGGTCCAAAATCGTCCAAAATCGCGTGACGCCATTTATGGACGGCCCCTAGGACAGACGATCTTTCCTCCTTCAGTCGCCCATCCTGTCTCCAAACCCCACCTCGCGACAGAGACAGCCAGCAAGCCGTCACCTTCGGCTCTCTCAGCTCCCATAGCATGTATGTTCAGTTCGGTGGCTGCACTACTAATTATTTTAGAATGAGTTTGTAAGTGAACTCGGGGGTTGACGTGCTCACAAGGATGGACGCGAATACTTCTCCATGGCAGATTAACTTTTATTCTCTAACTCCCAACTCGAAGTCTGTACGTAGGAGAATGCCACGCTCCGCTCTCAGTCCACGTGTCACAGAACATACCGGGCCGGCATCGCTCCTCTCTGATGATGGCTTTTACTGCGCCACCTGTTGGTCATAGTGAACAAACACTTTTATTTATTTTCCCTGTTTCCGAAAAAAATCCTATTTGAGCCTCTCCCCCCTTTGCCAACATTTTAGCGAGTAACTTATAGTTGGAATTTAACAATGAGATTGACCTATAGTTTCCTACCAGTTCTGGTTGGGTGTTAGGCTTGTGCATAACCGAGATTCTAGCTTCGTTCATGGAAGTCGGAAGACCACCTTAGGGAGAAAGCTGCATTGATGTCCTCGAGCAGGTCCGCAGTCATTTGGGTCCCCACCGCCTTTACAGAATTCAACAGCGAAGCCATCTGGGCCCGGGCCTTGCCAGACGAAGATTGTTTTCATTGCATCACTAAATTCTTTTCTTGTATTATTTGTAATGATTGCTGTTCATTTTTTTCTACGTAATTCTGTTTTGTTAGAGTTTACGTATGATTGTTTAATGTATCTACCTTTGCAATATCCTCTGTAATATTCCACTATTTCACGCATCTTTGGGTTTCACGTCTCTGAGAATGAGCTTCATAGCTCATTGCGTTCTCCCAGCTTAAATAAAGCATCTGTCTCCAGAAGAGATATCATAGACGTCATCTACTTATACATAAGTGGGCTTGTCTTGACATATTCTTGGTTCTTTATATTATAAAATAATATAAATATAATACAGTATTACTATTATTTTATTATTTCCCTTCTACGTGACTTTACCGAAAGAACCAAGAATATGAATCCCTGCAGTCACGAAAGCTTTAAATCAAAATTTGTCTTGACATGTTAAAAAGCATTGGTTAGATACTTTACAGGAATGTAGTTCGAATATAGTTAAACATGCATTGCACACATGTGCAATGCCAGGTTAGCGAGGACGAGGTTTGGTGGATGTGATGCAACAAACATGTGGTCCGAATGGCGTTCCTCACCTCTCTCATTCCAGTCGTGTGGCAATGCGTCCGTGCAAATAGCTCGCCTGTTGAAGCCACCATCAGAAAACAATACCTATGTGTATGATTGTATCATGATTATGCTTGCTTGCCCAGGAAGCCTCACAGTGCCGCCCCAATACTTGTTCGTGAGACCACTGCCACGTTTTCACAGTAAGGGGCGATGTTCCTATTTGTAGCCTCAATTGAGTTAATTTTCAGTAAAAATGTTTTCGGCATTGTGATGTTTGGTCATTGCTAGTTACAGGCATACCCCGGTTTACGCCCAGGATGCGTTCCTGAAAAGCAGAACTTAAATCGAAGCATTTTTGGTGGATCTTAGCGTGGTGACAGAGGATGCTCAGTAATTAATTGCGCATATATACTGTACAACATTTGGTATGCAAAGTAAGTATGTATTAGTAATGTATTAAGATATATTACTACGTCTATTCTATTATATGTATTAATAGTTGTTTATCATGTAAAATCGTTTACACTTGGAAACAAAATAGTCGCCATAAAAAAACAGCATGTGGGGGAAACAAATAGTAGAGTAGAGTGCACATGAAAGAGAGTGTGTTTTTATTTGATTTTTATTTTCACCTACGTGACTTTACCAAAAGAACCAAGGAGTAGAGTGTAGCGGCACTAACACTTGAGCGTAAAAAATAAATTGGGGCCGAATGGTTAAGTTCGTTAATATTGAGTGTGTTATGGCGAGGTACACAGCATGTAATATGGGACTTGTTAATCAATAAGTTGAGTACATTGCAGAGAAAGTACGTGACACGGGAGGGCGTAAATCGATGTGTTACTACATTGTATATTCGTTATGGGAGGAAACCGGAGATCCTGGAGGGAACCCATGCAAAACAGGAGTAGAACATACAAACTCCACACCAGAAAGGCGTCCGAGTCGGGAATCAAACCCAGGTGCCTCTTGCTGTGAATCACAAAGGTTACCATTCCGCTACCCTGCCGTCCAATACTAAAGGCCGCTGAACCCATGCTCTCTGCGTTCCCACTTGTGCAGAGGACAGGAGAAGGCGAGGGCAGAGAGGCTGCGGCGTGCGATCAAGCACGTGCTGCCCTGTGACGTCTTGCAGAGCAACATCGTCCACCCCGAGCAGCCGGCGCCGTTCGACGTCGTGCAGTCGTCCTTCTGCCTGGAGTGCGCGTGCGACACGGAGCTCAGCTTCCGTGCGGCGCTCCGCAACGTGGCCGCGCTGCTGGTGCCGGGCGGGTGGTTTGTGCTCATCGGGGCCCTGGGTCAAACGGTCTACTACGTAGCGGAGCAGAGCTTCGCAGCGCTGCCCCTGAGTGAGGATGTGGTGCGCGCTGCCGTGCACGCGGCGGGCTTGCAGGTTGACACGTTCCGCGTGCTCCCGCGACCCCAAAGCCTCGAGGATCACCTCAGTGACCTGAGTGGCTTCTTCTTCCTTCTGGCCAAGAAGGGATAGTCGATGGGGCATCCTGCCGAGAATGTTGCTCCGTTGCTACCGATTTGAAAAATGCATGCACCAGGCCAATGGATTAAAAAATGTGGATGGATTATGAAACTGCAGTCTGAGCTTCGTTTTCGTGTTGCATGATGATGTTTCTTCAAACTGTTTGTGGGGTATTTGTTTAGATAAGTATTGGTTTACAGATTAATTGCTGCGGCAACTGCCATAATTCTGCCGAGAATTGACAACACGTGATTAAATGCTCAACAAACTAAATATCGATTACAAGTGTAATAATTATTGGTGGAATGGTACGGAATAATGCCTTGTATTTGCAAACATTTGATTTGCAAGGCGGGTTATCCACAAAACTCTCACCACAGCACGGATAATTCGCATCCCGCTTCAGTGTCACATACAACGTGGTTGTTAATCACAGACACACTTTCACCAGGAGCACACTGTGGCTCCAGGTATCCTGTGATCTCTGCCTCTGGATTTCTGGCGAAGAAACCTTGTAGCCTTGCAGGAGAATCAGTTTGTTGACAGCCCACTGGCACGTGACAGCCCACTGGCACGTGACATCCGTGCCTCCCAAACTCCGTGCCTCCTCTTGAACCCCACAGCCCAGCTTCCAACGATTTCCCATCTTTTCGATTCTCATGCATTTCAAACCGTTACACGCTGAGTGCACCTGATGATTCTTGATCACGGAACGCGCTGCACCATGTGGGCCACAAGAACTGGAGATTGAGATGCACCGCATGAAACCTTGCCTCCCCATTCAAAGGATTGTCCTGCCGTCGCCTGCTAATTTCACCTGTTAGGAATCCCCGGTGAAACTCATCTGTCCCATTTATTCTTTACACTTCCAAGTATCCATGCCGTGAAATGATGAGTGGAACATCTTACCACCTGCACTCACCTGCAGATAACAGGAATCACCCGGAAGTGGCTGTAAATGATTTATATTTGGCACGAATAAAGAGTGAGCAGAAGTGTCAGATGCGTCATCCGCACAAGCAGCTCCGAACAGAGGCAGCGCGAATTTGTCAGGGCCACTTTGGTTGTCCCCATTGTTTATTGGGTCGCGCGTCGAGTGAACCCGACACGGACGTTCAGTGTACCCAACACATTTGACCGTCGACGGTGGATGACGAGTCCGCATAGGGAGGCGAGGCGCTCCCACGCACATCCATTTGCGTTGAAACGTCACCCTGATGCAGGGGTCCCGACCGCTGCCCTAATGCGTTCAAGACAAATCTGCTTATGGAAAAAGCAGGTGGCGTGGAGTTACGTAAAGCAGCCGCCGCACTATCGGCACAAGCGCTACGTAGAATTTATCTGCGGGACATGACAAAGCAGAATCAACCTCGTGGCTTCCAACGGGGAATGATTTTATTTCACCAGTAAAGAGAAGTTGCGACTTGCAACAGCCACCTGTGTGTGTGGGGATTGGCGCAGCTGTGAAGGTGTCCCCCAGGTAAGGGGCGCAGAGCGAGCTGAAGTGATTGCTCGCGCTGTGCGCATTGCAGTGGTTAAGCAACGTCCATACAACGGTCGTGGGTCCACGGTGCCAACATTGTGTTCTCGGTTTGTCTTGGTTGGCGTTCCATGTGAGAGAATCCCTCGTTCTGCGTAGCCTGCACGGACAGTAGATTAACATGTGGATGATCACAGGTTCTTCTTTTGACAAAATCATAGTGGGCTTTAAAACGAAAATAAACATCGCACATCAGAGTCACCTGTTAGGCATGCATTTATTAATTAAATGTCCATTACACATTTGTAAGATAATCAGTACCTACAGGAATTCTCTAATATTAAGCGGTTCATTCATTGTGTGTCCATCCGGTCGACTTGGTCAGTGGCAACCGTTTTGTAACCAGGGTGGTGAAAACTCGTGAGCCCAGAACAAGTTTCATCTGTAAGAGTAACCTGGGTTACAAAAATAGCAAAAGCAAAATATAAAGTACGGCAACGAAGCAACATGGAAATTATCACCTTGGCAAAATCTGGTGAACTAACATCTGGCAAAAATATCGGTCGTCCACTATTCTTTGTTGAACATGCATGAACTAAATTGAATGCGCTTGTGACAACTGCCCCAAGCACGAGCTCTCTTCATGTATTTTTTTTGGTCAAATTAATTAAGTCCATCCACGAACAGTTTGCGTTGGCAACAATGACAGCTTGTGGAACCAGGGGGCTGCTGTCCTGACACCAGCGCCGCCTCTGCCCATCCCCACAACACCTCCTATTCTCTCCCCACGAGTCCGTGCATTAAAGCCAATAAGCTTCATAGCAAATGCGGTTAATCCTATTTGCAGCCTAAACTTCTCTTTGAGAATTAGTTTTACATGTTGCATGCGCACAGAACGAGGAGGTGAATATGCTTTAGTGATACTGCACACAGCGCTGCAATACACACATTGGTGTTTGTATATATGGATGTTTAACTTCTTTCGCACCACACGTAGCCAACCGTGCTAATCGGAGGTGCATTTACAAAGCATGTTTTATGGCTGACACACATGCTTTGTAAACGCTGACCCCACAATGTGGTGCATGGCACTGGGGTGGCACTGAAACCAGACTTCGGAGGGAAATTCAAATCACTCTCGGCCTTATAACGATCCAGTGGCGTCCTCTCTCCCTCTTGCGAGTCACTTGGGTTACTTATCGCTCCGTGCCTCCTTCCCACTCTCAAGTTACTCGGACCTCCTCGATGTAAACTAAATAAAACAAGGCAACAAATCAGACTCGCTGGGAATGTTTTCCAATCGCTCTTAGAATTATTTATAGATTACCAGGAGTTAGTTGGGTCCTGGGCATTCTCATCGGATTCTTACAAATTCTAACTTGGCATTCTCAATTCGCCTTCAAAAGCCCATGCCGTCACTTTGAGATATCTTACAAACCTGACTTGATTTTGTTTAACAAAAATACAAATATTTGTTCGATCTATCTCCAAGATAAGCAACCCATCTCATCTCACTCCCAACCGATTGCCTTTTACTCCGTTTATCGCAAACGCTGGTAAGTGCTAATGTGGCGTGGATGTTTGGCTCTGTGCAGACAGCCAGCCTCCTCCCAAGGTGTTGCCTCAGACGCCCACGTGCCCCAAGTATCCTGAGCCAGTCCCTCTGAGACACCCTGTCCCTGCCCTCAAAGAAGCGTTGCTAAAGGTGGGTCATATAATTATTACTTTTAAACTTAAACTATAATTTTTATTTACCAGGTAAGGTCCACTGAGCTTTATATTGCTATTTTTAAGATAACTCGATGAAGTGGCTTATCACGTGGACATTTATAGCAGCAGCCAAATACTCTAAACGCGTGATGTTGATTCTAAATGTGGAGGGAAAACCCGGAGGACCCGGAGAAAAATCCACGGGACCACAGGGAGAATTGGACTCGTGTCAGAAGACATGCACAGTAGTGGCATGCGTGACAGCGAGAGGCTGGAAGAGAGGCAAATAAATTAGCATCTGGACAACGCGTAGAAGTGGGTTTGTTCCCAAGGACAGACGGAGGTGGGACTTTACAAGGAACAAGAGACAACGCGAGATTGAGATCCAAGACTGTGGGCCCTGCATCGGGCGTTGCACACGTGACTGTCAGAAGAAGAGAGAAGGCATATCTACAGTTTGGTTATTTTGGTAAAGTCACGTAGGTATAAAATAAAAAATACATCACGACGTTTCGGGCGCAACACAAGCGTCCATCATTATAACTACGCGACTTTACCGAAAGAACCAAAGAGTATGGATTCCTGCAGTCACGAAAGCTTCAAATCAAGATGTCTACAGTTGTTTTTGCTCCGTTTAAAGTTGGCCGTGTTAGAGCCGTGCGCCAGCTCCATTGACTTCTGGGCTCGAATTCAAAGTGAACATATCAGGAAATTAGAGATTTTCAAGTGGAGTGAGTGGTATGGCTTTAGTCCACTCACCAATAAGTACAACAAACACGTAATTAATCTGGCTTTTCTTTTAACCATTTGTGATCGCTGACATTTGCAAAAAGGTTGTGCAAGTCAGACGAACAATGTACAGAAAAACATTCCTTTGAGGGCATGAGCACTCCCCGTTTTGTGTTTGGATTTATAACAGTGTATCAATATAAATTTTGATATGTCTTTAGGACGACTGTTACCTGTCTCGTGATGGTTTGCTGACCGTAAGACTCTTACAGAAGAACATTTCCGTTTGTAGTCGTCAAGTAGAACACTTGGGATATACAAGAATTGGTGGAAAACATAACGGCTTTGTTGTTTAAATATATTATGGAGGAGATTATGTAAATCAGTCGGATGACGCCAATATTAGAATGTTACTCCAGCATGCTTGAGATCGTGAGCCCTTCAAGGTAAAACCAGGTCATGACGTGAATTCAGCGTGTTGTTCTCAGCCCAGTGACACCACACCACTGTTAACATCCAAAAGCCCGAACGTGCAGTCACAGCTGTCAGATAATAAGCACTTAACGCACTCCCTTTGAGCAGCATGGCGAGCGGTGGGGGGGGGGGTAGAAACAAGTCGTGCATTCGTCCACGCGTCTCGAGTTCAACCGAGCCGGGTCGAACCTCCATCGCGATGTTGCCGTCTCCGCATGTGGACCAGATCCTTCGCTACGAGGTGGACGCCGTGCGGCTCCCGGCCATCGTCTACCGCGACGTCGTGCTGTGGGGCCGGCAAACTTTGGAATGCGCAACGCCTCCGAGCCTCCCTCATCGAGCCCGGACGCGCGCACCCTGCGCAGGTGGCGGCTCTCCGCTGAACCGAACGCCCCAACCCCCACCCAAGCCCCGCCACATTGCGCCGTCGCAGCCGTGGTGTGTTTGTCCCCCCGAGGTGCGATACGCCGGGCAAGAGGCATAGCCTTAATCTCCATTGTCTTATGGTTGTTCTTGTTTGACTAGGCATCCCACTGGGATTTTTTGCACACAGCGTTGAAATGCGGTGTTTTTTTCTGTAAGACTTTGCTGTTTTTTCCAGGATTTTTCTGTTGCGTGGAGTCACTTTAAGATGTTTCTCGTTTGTGTTTTTGTTTTGTTGCGGCGGTTGCACCCTAGTCCAGAGCCGCATGGTTCACAGGGTTATACCTAATGAATGAAACTGAAACCACGAAGAGACGAGCAGGGATTGATGCACGAAATGACCGATGTTTGCCCTAAGTGCTCGATTACACCTGGTATGGTGACAATAAATGTGTAATTTGAGAATGCCAAACTCGTGCAAACTGACGGTTATCATTTAGAGTTTTTTGGTGAATATTGGGCAGTATTTCTACATTTTCGGAGGAAATTAGTTTGAAAATTTTCATGAAAAACTACAAATGAACACACTGCTTGATTGTGACATGAAGGTCACATTTGAGTGCCTCCGTACGTGAATATGGCGCCACGGTGGCGAGATGTGAACTACCTCGCTTGGTTTCTAGGAGATTGTGGCTTTGATCCCGACCCTGACGCCTGTATATTCAGAGTTTGAATGTTTTCCTCGTGATCGCGTGGATTTTGCTCCGAGTCCTCCAATTTTTCCCTCCACGTTTAGAAACATGTGTTTAGAGTATTTGGCTACTATACATTTCCACATGATACGTCACTTCGTTGAGCTATTATTTGTGGCCAGGTCGCTTCTGAAAAAGAGCTATTTAGCTCAGTGGGCCTTACCTGGTGAAATATAAATAGTTTAGTTTAGTAATGTTGCATCAAGGCGTTTTTATTTGCACGAAATGTTGTCAATAATTAACATTAGAATGTGGGAGTACGTATCGTGTTTGTAATTTATAATATTTGCGAGCGTGTTGTCACGCCTGGAGTCTTGCTACGATCGAGGTTGTTCTGCTACCCGCAGGCAGCCGTGCGTCTGCTTACAGCACGGCGCGGCCACGTTCAGATCGGTGGCTTTGTGTGCGGCACTGGTGTCAGGTTTTCCATCAGTAGTGGACAAATCAGGAACTTCCGTGAAAATGCTCTTTATTTTGTACCTTTTCAAAGGGCTCCTTGGTCAGGGATGCTCCCGCGGTGCAATGATCAGTAGGTTGGGTTCAATCACAGTGAGTCGATCGGCAGGTCGCATTGTGGTGGTGTAAAAGTGTGAGGACTTCCACCTCTTCCAAGACGTCTGACCGGCGTGCAAGACTTGGCCAAAACCACCTCTAAATGGGCCTGCTCTCAAGAGCTTTCTTTAATGGAGGTCCCTTCCGCGGCAGCGGCGCGAGCGAGAACTTGCAGTCCTGCGCCTTTACCTTTAAACCAAGGCCGTAATTATAATAGATATAGGGGGGGATACATCCCCAAAGAGACACATCCCCCCCAAAATTCAAATATGTTCAAAATGTCTCCCCCCCCCAAATATATTGCTATAAAATAGATTTCTGGTTATATGATTGTGGTTATGCTTGTACTTTATTAATTCCGAATCTCTGCCATTAAATACAATGAAACAAGAAAAGGTAAAAAAGAAAAAAATAGAGCAATGTAACACAATACACTATTAGACATTGTTGTAAAAAATAAATAAAAAGTCAATCCTTTGTGTTAGTGAATTTTTTACATATTTTAGGCAAGAAATTAATTTTCTAATTTAGATTTTTTTCTCGGGGGGGACCCCCAGACCCCCTAGATTCCTAGAAGATTTGGTCCCCCCCAATGTTGACTCCATGGCTACGGCCTTGCTTTAAACCCCCTCGGCCGCTCCCCTCCTCGCACCGTCTTGCAAGGATCTGCGGCACCCGCAGCTCCTCCCCGCGCTGCTGCTGGCGCGCCTGTGGGAGGAGCGCCGCCTGTGGGAGGAGCGCCGCCTGGCGTCGCTGGACGACGCGCCGGACTCCTCCTCCATGCAGGACCCTGTGGGAGAGGGCTCCGGGCCGCCCGTCGTCACCCTGCGCCGTCTGGCCAGCCACACCTCGGGTACGCGGGTGGGGGGGGGGCCTCCACGTCCCGGCGTGCACCCCCACGGTCGACTGAGCTCGCATTTGCCCACCGGCGTGTGCGTGGCGGGCGAGGTGCGGCTGCCGCCGTGTTAACGGTTATCAACCGGTGGCGTAACGAGCATGGGGGGGGGGGCAGGCAGGGGGTGTCTTGCCCCCCCCTACCCTGGTGGCCAAAGCTACAAGTTGGGGCCCCCCTCCTTAACAACCACTATGAGACTTGTTTTCAACAAGAGTGACAAAGAGCAACAACAAACGTATTTAATACGCGGTTTCAGTTTATTTTCATGAAACGCTTTCACATAGAACTCCGTTTCTGGGATATTCATTTCAAAGAGCCACGACTTCGGCGCTGTCGTGGCTGCATTTTTCGAAGACCGAGCGTCCCTCCAGCGATGTGATTAGGCAAGAGCAGCGGCGGTATCTACTGTAACAGCCTCGGTGCGACCGCGTGAGACAAATCAAATATTGGGGCTCCACCTGGCCAATTGCTGCACCCCCTGAGCTGATAATGTAGCCACGACACCACTGGTTATCACGCACTGGGCTTTTTCAGAGGTAGCTGCCCATGAAACACGCAACGTTGGGCCGACGTTCGTTGACGTTAGCTCAACGCTGCGTGTTTACTGGGTGGTTCGTTCTCCCTGTGTGACGCTTGAAACAATAGTGCACTAATTCTAGATTTGAAGCTTTCGTGACTGCAAGGATTCATATTCTTAGGTTTTTTTCGGTAAAGTCACGTAGGTAAAACATCAAAATTAATAAAAATAAAATAAAATAAAGATCACGACGTTTCGGAGGCAACACAAGTCTCCGTCATCAGGTGGGACCGTCACAGCCAGATTAGCTGCATCAAGTGAGGCAATGATTCAAGATGTAATCCCTTAAAAGCGAGTTGAGGGGGGAGGAGAGAGGGGGGGGGGCTCATCAGAATGTGGTAGCCAATGAATAGAACGTATCGGGAGGGAGGGGGGGCGGGGCCAATAGTGCACATTTAATAAATCCTCCCCCCCACCACCTCCTCTGTCCACCCAGTAGCGTAAGCGGGTTCAACCACAGTCGATGGGCAGGTCGCGTGCGGTGGAGTAACGTGTGGGTACTCCGACTTTGCCGTGATTCTGGTGTCGTTGATTTGCAGCATGAAGCCAAATGTCTTCCAGAATAAACGAGCGTGGAGCGTCGTTCATCTCAGTTATTTCAGTTTTCAGTTTCATTTATTAGGTATAGCCCTGTGAGCCATTCGGCTCTTGAATCGGGTGCAACCGCAACAAACAAAACACATGAACAATAAAACATCTTAAAGTAACTGTGCGCAAACAGACAAATCCAGGAAAAAACAGCAAATTCTTCCAGAAAAAGCGCCGTACACCAACGCTGTGTGCAAAAATCCCAGTGGGATGCAAGTTATTGGTCTTGGAACAATCGTGCCATTTCCATATTTCTATGGTGCTGGCCAGTCTTGCGTAGAGCCAATGTATCCATCCTGGAGGGGTTATGATAACGATGATGATGATGGTGGTGATTAATAGTGGTGGTGATGGCGGTGATGCTCAGGAAGGCTCTTGAGTGGTAGGGTAGATGAGTTCGATTCCCACTCACGACCAATAACAGTGACGATTATCTGAATCAGGTTTTGGGCCTTTCCTAGGTCGGCTCAGCCTCAATTGCGTACCTGGTGTGGTGTATAAACATCGCCATTGCTGGCCACCCACCCCCTAGTGTTCTGTGCCGGCCTTCTTAGATGTTCGTTAACAGCACTTGCCCGAACAGTCTGATTTAAGGCTATACAGAGGATCTTTGTCTTTGGAGGTTCGTGAAGGGCGCTACTGGACAGTCAGAGGCATTTGCACTCCAACAACAGCGGAGGGCAGAGGAGCGATGCTCAAAATGATGAGTGGAGTGCCGAGCGGGTAAAACACAGCAAGTTAACACAGTAGGGGGTACAGGTGGTGCATCTGCCAGTCATCTCAGTCTACCCTTGGAACCTGGATCTGTTCCGTGACCTCCTGCAAGTGAGCCTTCGACACTCCACGTGGCCTCGGAGTGCACCTGGCCTGGCACAAGCGCCGTTGTGACGTCACCGCCGCTTAGTGGCGAATTGCGTCTGTTCTTGTTGATGATTCGCAATCTGTTCAGATCATGAGTCGAGCATTCTGCAGCACCAGCCGGCGGACGATGCTACGGTATCTGTAACGATGTAGAAAGGGCGCGTGTGAAGGAGGGGCCTGGTCGTGCAATAGTTCGCGCGCTGCGCTACGAACACGACGATGTGTTCGATTCCCTATCACAGCTAATACCAGTGACAAATATCTGAACTGGTCCTGAGCTTCTCCTAGGTAGACTCAGCCTCAAATGAGTACCTGGTGCGATGTATAAACAACCACTGGGGATACAAAGGTGGCCGGGCGTGGTGCTGGCCACCGACCCTCTCGTGTGCCGTACCGGCCTTCATAGGTGCTCGCTAACAGCACTTTCCCCAACAACCTGTTAAGGCGACACGGAATATCTTTGTCTCTGTGTTTTTTTTGGGGTGATTGTGGTGATGATTCAACCCCCAACTGGCAATTCGAACTCCCAAACTTTGCCGATTGTAAAGTCGAGCATTCTGCAGCAGCAGCCAGGACAGCGGGGGTGGGGGGTGACGATGTAGCTGTAACGTTGTTGAAAGGATGCGTGCGAGGTGAGATGACTCGCGTGGCCGTGTGGCGGTGGCCTGGCACGGGACCTGCGTGGCACGGGACCTGCTGTGGACGGGCATCACGTGGGAGGCGCTGCTCTAGGAGCACGTGCTCGTGGTCGCTGCCCGGCACGCGGTACGACGACGCCATCACTTGGAAGACATCGTCTTTTGGTGACAACAAAAACAACAACGATCAACGACACCCGAGGCTGTGATATTGATCGTAGATACAACTTTGTGTGAACTCTGACTCAATATTAACACTGTTAAACACTTCAAGGGACTGTGCTTTGGCAGCAGTGTACAATCACACATCAACAGAACTACCCAAATCTATCATGAACACTGCTTCAACATAGCAAAGTGCCGGTGTTAGAGTACAGCAATAATATGCCATTGAGTGGGGAAACAGCCACAGCTGTAAATTGATTACTATTATTCAGAGTACCACGTTATGACGATGCAGTGTGAATGACGACTGTGAGGAGTTATCTTGGATTTGTAGCTGGATTACTTAGGGGCCGGTAATAAATGACGTCACGCACCTGGGGGGGGGGGGGTCAGACATTTGTGACGATGTGTGACGAGGGGGGGGGGGGTGAGAAATGTGACGTCACATCAAAATGCGCAACTTTAAATAAACAGACAACACGTTCTACTGAATTAAATAGACTTTTTAATAAACGTTTCTCCTACAACATCAGAGTGCAGCGCCACATTAAATACGCACGACAATATCAATATATGAAAGCGATTTAAAGCATGTTTGATTTTTTTTTGGGGGGGGGAGCTTTGTCACATCATATTTGAGGGGGATGTCTGACTTTTTGTGACGTCGTGTGAAGAGGGGGGGGGGGGGGGTCAAAAATCGTCCAAAATCGCGTGACGTCATTTATGGACGGCCCCTTAACGCTATATATATTTACCTGCAGTCCCGTGTGGCCCCCATACCCTGCGCTCCTCAGGCCACGCCCTGTTAGCACAACCTACAATTTGTGATTCTACACTGGCGGCAGTAGTGGGGCCTTCTCGAGATGGTGCCGAAGATGTGGGAACTCAGATTGTCTCCGAGCCCCGAACAGTTCAAGAAACTCTGCAAGACTATTTTTTTATTTTGAGCTTTTTCTTGAGCATTGTCCTCTCGATTTAAAGCTTTCGTGACTGCAGGGATTCATATTCTTGGTTCTTTCGGTAAAGTCACATAGAATGGAAATAATAAAATAATAAAAATAAAACATAATAAAATAATTCTCACGACGTTTCGGCCACAACGCAAGCAGCCGTCCTCAGGTGAGTATATAGTACGGTGTAGACTCGTGTGATGTAAGAGAATAAAGTTTAGCTGGAAGCATATTATATTTTTTGCCACATAGAATTGTAATGTATTACTATGGGGACCTCATTTGCCAGTAAAAATATGATAATTGGTTCTTTACCCTTCTATCTGGCAACAAAACTGACACCTTTTTGCAAGGAGTCATGTTTGCATAGACCGCAATACCTGCAGTCATAAATACAAACAAAAGACATAACTCTGATAATGTGCACTGTCCCTGAAGTTTATTGGTCCACACCCGAGACAGCTTTCCTTCGAGCCTAGTCTCATATGGGTTGGACCAGATGACGCCAAAAGGCGCACAACTCAAGGACAATGCACCATCAGAGTATGAGAGCTCGGGGCAAGCATCTACACACTAGCATCTACACACTAGTGTAGATGCTTGCCCCGAGCTCTCATACTCTGATGGTGCATTGTCCTTGAGTTGTGCGCCTTTTGGCGTCATCTGGTCCAACCCATATGAGACTAGGCTCGAAGGAAAGCTGTCTCGGGTGTGGACCAATAAACTTCAGGGACAGTGCACATTATCAGAGTTATGTCTTTTGTTTGTATTTATGACTGCAGGTATTGCGGTCTATGCAAACATGACTCCTTGCAAAAAGGTGTCAGTTTTGTTGCCAGATAGAAGGGTAAAGAACCAATTGTAATGTATTACTTACTGTTAGTAGCTCAGCTTATTGGAGAGTATATTTAGTATACTGATGATACTATGTAGTTTATACTTTAGTTGTTTACGTGGTGTTTTAGTTACTGCAGCTACATACTATTAACATTCCTTCCCTTTATTAATGTTACTCCTATCCCCTCCCTTTGATACTGCTAATCCTGCATAATGCAGGGGCATAATGACTTTAAACCCCCCGCCAAACCTCCTACGCATTTCACAAATAGTACTAATCGCATATCTGCATTTCCCATAAATATGCTAAATTCCTCTTGATATGCAAATTATTTTGTCAAGGCACCCTTCCCCCCTCCATCCCAGCTTAAATAGTCGCTCCAAGCCTGGAGTTTGTCATTCAGACTCTGTCTTCTCGACAGACCTGTTCTTCACCTGAGGACGGCTGCTTGCGTTGTGGCCGAAACGTCGTGAGAATTATTTTATTATGTTTTATTTTTATTATTTTATTATTTCCATTCTACGTGACTTTACCGAAAGAACCAAGAAGAACATTGTCCTCTCATTTTTAATATTTTTTTACGTGTGTCTTGATTTTGTAGGTAGGACTACGTCCGTTTAATTTCTACTGTAAAGTATTGCGATGCCCTATTCAGTGGGGGCGAGCTTTTACAACAAAAATACATGTGATAATTTATTTATTTTTAGCCTCAGGCAACAGCCTTAGATAGATAGTGATGAGAAATGTGAAGAATTTCTGCCAGGTTTAGTCCATTGCTTTCTTCTCCCTGGGTATTTTGAGAACCAGCCCACTGCTTTACTTCTGTAGCCACAAGCTGATAATGTAGAAATTGCGATAATCTTGACCTCATCAAATGCTAATAACAGATTGGTTAAGACAGCTGCACATAATTTTCTTGTTATCCAAACGATCCGTAAATATCGTTGGACATGGAACACGTTTTTTTTTATTGCAACATGTTGCAATTAATTTCCCCTTCAGGAGTACAATCTCTCTGGGACTTTTATCCGGTATTGCATGAAAGCTTTTTTATCTATAGAAATGCTGGAACAGTATGCAACGAGTGTTATCTACTAATATTTCCACTTTCCCAGCAGTGGTCAGGCATTTGCAAGGCATATTATATCTGCACTCGAGGCTGGATTATACAGTAATGTCCATGTGGAAATACAGAATAGCAGTCGTGCATTCATTACATCCCGTTAAAAAATGACTGCATGTTTATGAGGAACAGTAGCTGTGGGGGGTTCTGTCTGAGCTGCGGACTAGCCTGCTGCAGTTGTTCATCCACCTGCTGGGCTCTGGCAACCCACACAACAAACGATCAGATGTTAACCCGCGGTCGGCCCCGGAATGACCATCACCAGCGCGCCTCTGTGCCTCTTCCAGCTGCCACTCCAGCATCGCGGCCACATCCCTGCTGGCGCGCGTGCTCGCTGAGCGGGTTGCGGGAAGCAAGTACGAGGCGTGGCCGGAGCAGAATGTGCTGCTCCCGATGGGGATGAGAGACGCCAACTTCTCCCCGCTCGCCCACGTGGACGCGGGCGGGCGGCCTGAGCGGAGGGGCGCTACGCGGACGGTGAGCGTCTCTCCGCTCTGCAGCGTGGGCTGGTACCGTCCCGCCGGACAGATGCTCTCGAGCGTCGCCGACTTGGCCAAGCTCAGCACCCCGTTGCTGGGCACGTCCCAAAACCCGGTCCTCACGAGGGACACCGTCAAGGTTGGCATAGTTGGCGCCATCGTCGGGGTTTTAGTTTTTTTAAACCAAATTTCCCGTTGCACCAAAAAAATAAAATGTGTCCGCCGACATAAAAAGAGGGAATGTAACCGCACCTTTGTGGCAAGTTCGGACAAGCGCGGCAGAGGCAGGTCACCATTGTGGAGACGCTGAAGGGAAGTGCTTCAGTCACGATCGTGTTTTTGCTGATCGGATTTCACTCCTTGACCTTTCTCACAACCGGTTTGTTCAAACTGCACGTGCCATGCGGTTGATTCACTGTCGCTGGGTCTCTGTACCCCGCATAAGCCACTTGGAGTATATAATAAATAGCCATGCGTCTCTCTCCCAGCGATCGAGGCGGCAGGGATGATGGAGAGCCAGTAGGCACTAACGCGTCGGGAGGGGCGAGTGTGTGGCTGACTCTGCTTCTGAAGGATCAGGAAGTTATCCTAACGATTTGCCTGAGATCACAGAGCTTCACTTTAATACATACGCATGTTTATTATTTTTGTATTATGTACAGGGCAGTCCAAAAGTAAAAACATGTAGGGTTATTATATTTATTTTAACAAATAACGTAGCGTATTTTTTAAACAAAAGTTCAAACTGACTTATATGAACATAAATGCATGCATACATTATTTTGAAATCTATTTAGGACTTTTTTTTTAAATATTACAGCTGTAATATTTAAACATTCATCAATTGTGTTTTGTCTCAATTCATTCGCGGTTCTTGGTCGAATGTTTTAAATGGTGGACTTCGGATGACCCCACAGGAAGAAGAAAAATATCTATTAATAATGATAATAGATCAAATCTAAACTGAACAAAAATAAACAATTACAATGGTTTAATGCAAGTGTTAAAATAATTGAAATAATCCTATGCGTCCTGACTTGTATGCCGACTCTGTATATCAGTAAGATTAACACACAGCTGTTCACGTACACCAAGGCTCGCACTGTCCGTCAAAGTGAAAAACAATCAGCGCTGGTGCTGTTCCCTATACATCAAGCGGCAACAACCAGAGAACACCTTGGGTGACGAACACTACGTATAGAGCAGTCTCGGCGCATGGTGGCTTGAGTCTTCAGTGACCCGTGTAATACAGCACTCACAGTGGCAAATTCCGTGCAGACATCAGATTATTGAGCTGGAAGGTCTTGAATTCCTGAGCTTTAATGTGATCTGCCACTAACACGAGCCACACATGCATACACTGATTTCAAGGAAAGCCCACAGAAGGAGACAATTGCTGCAGCAAACGTGTATTTATGACCTCTACGTTTTAAGTGTGCAATAACTGTGAAGGAAAACGTTGAATTATTGAAATCTTTGTTTTAATTCCCAGACAGACTCTGCTGTTTCGGCAGATGTTGTGGACCCCAGTGCAGGCGTGCCAAGCGGACTTCTTTGCGGCGAAGGCTGGCCTTCCCTGGGAGATGGGGGCCGTCCATTATGACGTCACGACGATTTTTGACCCCCCCCCCCCCCCTATCGTCACACGGCGTCACAACAAGTCAGACCGCCCCTCAGAAAGCTCTGCCACCATCCCCCAAAATAAAACATGCTTCAAATCGCTTTAAACTATTGCCATTGCAGTGCGTATTTAATGTGGCGCTGCACTCTGATGTTGTAGGAGAAAACATTTATTAAAAAGTATATTTAATTAAGTAAAACGTGTTGTCTATATTTATTTTAAGTTGCGCATTTTGATCTGACGTCACATATCTCAAACTCCCCCCCCCCTTCGTCACACATCGTCACAAATGTCTGCCCCCCCCCCCCCCCCAGGTGCGTGACGTCATTTATGGACGGCTCCTTGGGCGCCAGCTGGGATACACGATCCTCAGGAAGGACGGCGATATCGATGGCTATGCTGCCACCTTCTCAATCGTGCCGCAACTGGAGCTGGTATTCGTGTTGCTGATCGCAGGCGAGAGGCAGCAGGGACTGTGTTGTGGGTCGGAATCACGTCGAAGCTGTAATAGCACAGAGTTGACATTTGTTTTTATTATTCCCACGAAGCACTTCAGCGGGGTGTCCCTGTGACGCGCCACTGAACTCGTTATTACTTTGCCGATTTAGAACCTCAGTGTGGGGCTCGACCACTGTTATAAGTCAACAGTGGCTGTCATATGAAGAGCATCGTCTATGTCGTAAAGAAATGTAGAATTCCCACGACAGGGCTACGAACAGAAATTCGCACTACCCATTGCTCAATGGAGTATAGAGGCACGTTCATGTGTTGTCATACTATTTTAGGATGTGATGATCAGAAACCCTCTTCACTGAGGGGTGCCACAGTCGCGAGATATGAACTACCTCACCTGGTAGACAGAAGGTCGTGGGTTCGATCCCGACCTGACGTCTGTATATTTGATATTTGGAGTTTGCATGTCTCTCTCTCCATGGTTACGTGGATTTTTCTGTGGGTCCTCCGGTTTTTCCCTCCACATTTTGAATCAACATGAGTTTTTATTGTATTTAGCTGCTATAAATGTCCATGTCATAAGCCACTTCGTTGAGCTATGATTTGTGATAGGCAGGCCACTTCTGAATAAGAGCCATATAGTCGTTCATTCGTAATGCGGTCATGTGGATGGCCATCAGCCAACCAGTTATTTTGTGCGTTTGAATTGTACCCAGGAGTGCTAGGATAAAGCATTCACATTCTCTACTTGGCAAGGAGGTTCAAATCACCAGTTTTAGCCGCTGAGGTCGTGACAGGTTTCTGCTTTCCGTGCTCCGTGTGCTGTGCCCGTTCTGTTGTAATGTGCACTGATGTACTACTTTATTAAGGGAGATATTGTCACCTAAAATAAAGATTGATTTATGACTTGATTGATTGATCGATAATGTAATACTCTATTCAGACTTCCACTGCAATACCATGCAGTGGGATTGCACTGGGGCCAGCTTGTGACACAAGCAGAATTTTGCATGGCAGCACCTGATCTGACTCATCGAATATCCATAACACCATAAAGCTGCCCTTGGTAGGAACTAATCCAAGTGGGACCCAGGCCAGACCTCTTCAGCTCCCAAGCTGTAACGCGATGATGCCGCAGCGCTAGGGTTATGGCCACCTTACACCCTTCATTGTCAGGTCGTCTTTACAAAAATGAATCAGAGCTGGGCTCTCTGGCTATTCAAGTGATTGATGACTCTACCAATTATTGGGTTCGATTACTTGACTCGTCAGATAACACAGAAACACAGATGGGGTAAACAAGTCTCACTGCTGTGCCCACGTGTGCCGCTGGATGGGTGGTGATGGGCGGGGCTTGGTGACATCATCCGCATCATTGCATCACGCTGTGCTTAACTTGCAGGGGGGTTTCCTGCCTTCAGCCATCAGTTTTAAAAGGAGGCCAAATAACTGACCAAAGACAAAGTACAGTACAGGCAAACCTCTTACAGCGGTGCCTCTTACTGTATAACGCCATTTCGTTATCACACTCTTTGTCTTGGAGGAAAATTCCTGCATGGATCAGCCCAGTGCCTACCTTATTACAGACCAATTCAGACCTTAGTGGTCACCCCGTGCCCATATAAATCTCAGCGTTCATCCTACAAAGTCCCATCGCAAGGGAGAAACACAAACAAATTGCCCTCATTGAAACGCTGCACGCCATATGGATAACCGATGATCGACCGCAATTGATGTTTGATGTACTCGGTGGAAGGGCGAATCCCAGGGGTAGAGTTCAGGAATGGAACCGCAGAACGTTTCAATTATTTAACAAAACAATGACGAAAGACAGGCCAACAATATAATGTATTCTGTGTGTGTGTTATGTATATATTCTATGTGTGTTATGTATATATTTTGTCGTGATTATGAATTTCCACTGCTTCTTGTGGGGTTGGGCATTGGCTTGTTTATGTTCGGAATTGCGTAGCTAATGGGAGTGTTCATTCGCTTGCACCTATCGGCACTCATTTGCTCCAACTGCAACTGTTAATGTTGATGCCTCGATTAATAATTATCAAACATTATTTCTTATTAAGCATTAAGATGTGTATAGAATACACAATGATGGGCGGTTACCAGAGAAAATGCTGAGCATATTCTTAAAATTAAATTGTAATATGCCCTCTTTAATTACAATTGGTGTGGAAAATAACGGATCAAATGATCAATGATAACGATATCGTAATCAATGACACATAATAATCAAAGACACAAATAACCTTTTGTGCATTAACAAAATACGGGCGGCTTTGAGACAATTTTCCTCATTACTGCGTAACCTTGTTGTTCAACCCGCGCGTTATTGGTCATCTTGCGTGGTCGGGGCTGTCTGACCCTCTCAGGCAGACCTCACAGCGGCTGTGTATGCCCAGCTGCTGCCGACCTTCGACCACGTGCTGCGTGAGGTCCCCAGGACTGCCTGGCCGGCTCCTGCGCTACCTCAGCTACTACGCCTACTCCAACGTGACCTTCTACCACATCACCACGAAACCGGAGCAGGACATGATGGAAAACGGCCGCCGGAGTTTCAAGGAGCAGACGCAGACGCGACAACACCGCTTGAAGAAACGCCGAGTAAGTTTCTGACGCGAAGACAAAGGGATAAGGGAAGTCAGGGACAGCAGAAGCAAAATATCAGTGAACTGCCAACAGCAGATAACCCGGAGAGCCTGCTACAGTCAGAGCGGCAGCCAAAAGGCCCCAAAAAACATTGTTTTTGCGATTGTTTGGTCCTAGCATTGAAGTGAAGCTTCTGGAAAAATTCTGCACTTTTCACCTGAGCTACCTTGGCCTACACGTTTTCCTGGCCGAGTTTTTGAGCCCATTTCCCTGCTCTGTGGAGCAGCACTTGAGCCAGGGCCACCCGATCCCACTGGAGCAACAGGACCAACAGATTGTGAACTTCCATCACCCAGACTCAGGTGCACTCTGTCCAGGATTTGACATTCCGGGACTTAACATTTACAATGTCAGGCGTCTAAAGAGCTAGCCTATGTACTGATCATGGCAATGTAACTTTGCTAAATATCTGGTTGTAATTACAGAGCCATGATTAGCACCTCAGATTAGCACGGTTGGCTACGTACGGTGTGAAAAAAGTTCAACATACATACTGAGATAAAAGTAAAAAATCTGTTTGGTCACTATAAAATGGACATTTTGTTCATGGAAGTACACGTTGCAGATGTTGTGGCCCCCAGTAGTAATTAAGTCAGTTTCACATGCCCCTTTCCCATTCTAAATTGTATGTCCCATTGGCACCGTGGATACAACAATATCTATGTATCAAATGATTGAATTGAGGAAGCAGCAATGTTCGTTTTCGATTGAAATATGCAACACGTCACCGACTCCATCCAATCAAGACTCGACCATGAAAACAATGCGCAAATCGCGGCACACGACCATCGGAGTTGCTCTTAAAGAGAAACGACTCCATTCTGAAAACTGTGCCAGCTACTAAACATATCCAAATACATTGCATTTAATCAACCCATTTTTGTATCATGCTGATTAACAGAAAACTCATGATAGCAAAATACTCTTTGGTTTTTTTCGGTAAAGTCACGTAGGTAAAAAATAAAATAAGTGAAAACAACTAAATTAAATCACGACGTTTCGGGCGCAACACAAGCGTCCTTCTTCAGGTGGGGACAACGTAGCGAAAGCACAACCGCTTTTTATCTACGTGACTTTACCGAAAAAAACCAAAGAGTATGAATCCTTGCAGTCACGAAAACTTCAAATCTAGAAAAAAGAAATACGTGTTCTTATCTGTAAATTTACACTTCCTTCATGCATGAGTACTAGTGCTGGAAAACAACGAAATTGAGATCTTAACGTCGTAATTTGGTTGTTAACATTTCCCCCTAACGACTCTTTTATCTTGCCGCGCCTCCGACTATCACGGTTCGCTACGAGTGGTGCAAAAGACGTTCAAAATACAGTACATACATTGTCAACGTCTTCATTGCTGACATTTCAGTGACAGCTGCCAAACTACACGAAGGCTTCCCTAAAACACGAACCCATGAGAAGATTTTTTACAAAAAGTATTGTACAACCGCCCCCCCCCCCCCTCCACAGCACGAGTGTTGAGCGGGTGACCGCCGTGACCCCGCGGGCTGCGGGCCTACACGGTGACCCGCAGAGGGCAGCACATCCACTACTGTTCTGTGGTTCTATTCCATGTACGGGCTCCCAGCCTTCACTGACCCACGTGGTAACTTGTAGTCGAACAACCCCCATGGCGTTGAGAATCCCTCATCCAGCAGTGGATTGACGAAGATGCATTATTGCGCCGTGTGTGTATGATTGTCGAAGAATGAGCATTGGTTTTTTGACAAGAAGATTCTTAAGTAAGGGGCCGTCCATAAATTACGTCACGCTATTTTGAACGATTTTTTGACCCCCCCCCCCCTTCGTCACACGGCGTCACAAAAATCAGACCCCCCTCAAATATGACGTCACAAAGCTCTGCCCCCCCCCCCCAAAATAAAACATGCTTTAAATCGCTTTAAACTATTGTCATTGTAGTGCGTATTTAATGTGGCGCTGCACTCTGATGTTGTAGGAGAAAACATTTATTAAAAAGTATATTTAATTAAGTAGAACGTGTTGTCTATATTTATTTAAAGTTGCGCATTTTGATGTGACGTCACATTTCTAACCCCCCCCCTCCCTCGTCACACATCGTAACAAATGTCTGACCCCCTTCCCCCCCTAGGTGCGTGACTGGAACAACTCCCTTGCGAGGGAGACCTATTGACGTTACGCGGATCTTTACCGATATTAAATCTCGATTTGAAGTTTTCGTGACTGCAGGGATCCAGACTGTTTTGCCCACTTCAGCAATTGTTTCTTGCTGTGGTTGTCCCACCTGATGACGGACGCTTGTGTTGCGCCCGAAACGTCGTGATTTAATTTATTTTATTTTATACCCACGTTACTTTACCGAAAGAACCAAAGAGTATTTACCGATATTTTCCAGCAAAACCACACAATGGAATTACAACTCTTTTTTTTCCACTGTACAATCCGAGCCGTGCTGGGGTTTGTGCCGAGCCAGAAGCCGAGCCGTGCCACACGACCGACGTCGCGTGCCCAGTGAGCGAGTCGAGGCACATGCCGATGACGCAGCGATGTCCTCACGGTGTACTTACTGACGTCACACAATGAAGGTGTCTTTAGCTCCGCCCCCGGCACTGTTTGGCCCCAAACCAGACTGAGATGACCTTTGAGGCCAGTGTATCACGGGTTGGCTCTAGTTAAATACCAATTGCGTGCTATTTTGTGGAAATGCTCCTCTGAAGCACTGCCAGAACAAAGTGAATAGTTCCCCCCCCCGTTCCCCCTTGACGAAGACCGACACCACATCACTGACTCGCAACTGAGCTCTGAACTTAGGCTCTGTAACAATGTGGTCACATTTATATCGCTAAGACTTCCACCACCCAAAACAGAGCCAAACAAATTAAATTGTTACACGTGCGAGCCTTTAACGCACAACTTATTCTTGTTTCGGCTCACTGGCTAGTTGAACAATGATCACATCCAAGTTTATCAATTAGATAAGACTGGTGTAAGCCGTGGCCAACAGTTGAACTCTGTTCATTGGGTTTAGAGCACAGTGCACTAACCATTGCATAACCGCTGCCCCACCCTCCAACAAACAATGCAATAAATAATAACAACATTGAGTGTTTTATATAGGTCATTTATACGACTACACACATGTACCACAACGCTGCGCGGTCCACAAAACACGGTGGCGCAGATAGATGAAGATGTTTTCAGGCAATTAATGATGGGTTCGTCCATACGAGAGGAAACCAGAGCACCCACAGAGGGGGTGGGCTAGGGCGGGGGTGCAACGCTACCCCGTACCGATGGGACAGATGGAGATTAATCCTCTTGCCGTATCGCCTCCTCCTGGTGCACCAGGGTATAGCACCGCCTCAATGCCCACGGGTAGCAGGGAGTTTCGCAACATCTTGTGTGTGTGTGACCCACAGACCCTTGCTGCTGCCTCCACTGTGCCTGAAAATAGGCAGCCACTTGCACAGCGCAGCCACCACCACCGCAGTGGCTCCCAACAAACACCACGATGTAGTAGGCAAAGTGGCTGGCATATTGGGCACACGCCGTGTGTAAAGGTGTATGCTCGCATGTCGGTGATAGCACCGCGTTATAACTTTGTAGAGCCCTTGATCCTTTCTGTACGTCCCTTACAAGAAGTGCGTAAAATCGACTCGGCTTTATTTTTCAAGCTTGCTATTTTTTCACGTATCAAGGGGTGCATGTCCTTAAGCCGTTGCTAGGTACAGAACTGCAGCAGCTCAAATGTCCAATCTGAGCACTAAAGGATCTTAACCGGAGGTCAAAGTCCACCGCGCAACGCTTCAAAACGAGGGTAAAAGTATTTACAGTAGTAGCTCGGTTTATTTAAAAGTTGGGGCGATTAATGCATTTGGTAGATAATGGTGCAGTAAAGTTGGGACAGTGCGTGTGTTGCGGGTTTGCCTAGCCGAAAATAACTTGGGTTGCAAAGAAGCTTGGCTATATACGACGGGCAGTCGGTACAAGGTTGAATTGGAAAAACGATGCCAATGAACGAATCAAGAACAGCCAGGCAGGCGTTGGTGGCTACATGCGTGGCCTGCAAGCCAGCACGGTGGATGCAGCAGTGGAGGATTGGTGGCTCACACAAAACGTTATTTTTTCGGTCGTCAGGATGTCGTAACCCTGGCTTGCCAGGAGATGATACACCAACGTGCATTCTAATATAACCTGTCCCTATATACGGGATATAGTGTGTCCTCGTCACGCAGTGGTTTTCTCTGGGTGCTCCGGTTTCCTTCAACATGTTAAACAATGATTAATTGCCTGAAAACATTTTAATATATAGGGCTTGAGTAATTGTGGGGGTCGGCTCACCAATTGACCACTGCCTTCCAGCTCGTGAGTGGTTCCTCGGCGATTATGAGAGGTGCAATTTGCAGGAACAATGACGCTTTATGTGAAACTACTAAATGTGATTCTAACGCGCTGGACGGTCAACAGCCGGTGCAACACTGACTACATACCACTGACTACACACCACTGACTACACGCCACTGACTACACGCCACTGACTACACGCCACTGATTAGTATGTTTCTCAGCTCCGCTCCCCGATGGGAGCTGACGGGGCTGCTGCTTTATTGCAACTCTCTCACGGTCCCACTGCTACCTTAACCTACTCAAGATCAAGCTCATATATTGAAAACAATCTTCAAATAATGACTGTACACTTCGGGTGCAGTGACCTAGGGATGTGTAATAGTGAATCTGCAATAGGCGGATTAATTTATAATACTGTAACAGGGTTTTCCCTCTTTTTTTCTGGCGACAAAACTGAAACCTTTTGCAAGGAATCATGTTTACATTAACCACAATACTTGCAGTCAAATGCAAACAAAAAACACACTGATAATTTATGCATTGTCCTTGAAACTGATTGGTCCACACCAGAGACAGCTTTCCTTGAGCCTAGTCTCATACAGTGTTCGACCAGATGACGCCAAAAGGCGCACAGTTCAAAGACAATAAATAACACTGGTCAACACACTTTTTCTGGCATAAGGTATTCCAACGATTGTAAGGTAATTTTGGGGTGCTGATTCCAAATCTGGCATCAGTTTTTGTCTATCACATCAGGTTTTTGAGATATCCAATATTGCATTTTCAATAAAAACTGCAAAAGAAAAATATTAAATAAATGTGGATATTTACATAAAATTATATTATAAACACACTATCCTAAAAATACAGCACCATATATTAACACTAAAGCAGTCACTGACTCGCAACAACTTGCAATCATAAGTGACAGAGTTAATTTCGGGTAAAATCAATGAAAATGGGGTATGCCGATAGCATAAAAATGAGATGTGATAGATCAAATCTGAGATCAGATTTGGAATCAGCACCCTGAAATTAGTCTAAAACAGCTGCAAAAGTCCAGGCCAGAAAAAAATGTTTTTTTTATTGTTGACCAGTGTAATCATAGTGTTGTTTCTTGTTTGCAGTTTGACTGAAAGTATTGTGGTTAATGTAAACATTATTCCTTGCAAAAGGTTTCAGTTTTGTCGCCAGAAAAAAGGGATAAAAACCCCTATTATTATATTTTAGTACCGGCAAAGGAGGCCTCATGATATAGATTCATTTTAATTTTGTGTGTAATTTTTTTAAATTGAAAACATGATACGAGTAGAACGTATAATACCGGCAGAGTACTAGACACACCTCAAGGTGTGTGTGTTTTTTTTTCAATGTAGACCCGAACCATGCTTCGCAAAACTCGTTGGTAAAAGTCCGCATCAAAACGACATCAACTTCAAAAGTGGACGTTACAACGCGGTGTCGTGAGGTGACGAGGTACGTAGAGGGCCGTCCATAAATGACGTCACGCGATTTTGGACGATTTTTGCCTCCCACCCCCCGTCGTCACGCGGCGTCACAAAAAGTCAGACCCCCCTCAATATGACGTCACAAAACTCTCCCCCCCGCAAAAAAATAGGACATGCTTCAAATAACTTTAAACTATTGTCATTGTAGTGCGTATTTAATGTGGCGCTGCACTCTGTGTTGTAGGAGAAAACATTTATTAAAACGTCTATTTAATTAAGTAGAACGTGTTGTCTATATTTATTTGAAGTTGCGCATTTTGATGTGACGTCACATTTCTCAACCCCCCCCCCCCCATCGTCACAAATGTCTGACCCCCCCAGGTGCGTGACGTCATTTATGGACGGCCCCTAGGAGACACGCACACGGTAGGTGAGAGATATGTGCTGATCGCGCGCGTTCCACCTTGTTTGTGGTCTGCCAACGCCCACGCCACCTTTACGTGATCGCCTCCTGGCCGTGCTCCCTCCCACTGGCCGCTGCCCTGCTCATGCTGCTCATGCTGCTGCTTCTCTTCCTCGTCGCCTCTGCCCCCCCCGGCTTCTTTCACTTTCATAGCTCGAGCGCGCACAGCGAGGACGTTGGCCTACGACGGTAACTCCTGCAGGTAAATGGGCATTTTGCGCCGACGTTACAATCGCGTCTTTGTGTTGCTTGCTGTTCTAACTTTCTTACCCGCCCCTGCTGGGCATCTGCGAAGAAGAGCTTCATAGCTCATCGGATTCCTCCGGCATGAATACAGATTCTGATTCTGAAGTTACCACTGTGTTCGGATTGTGCGGTGCTATACTGCAACTTGTTATGACATCTGATACTTCTACAAACATTAATTCCACTCTATAACATTCATCAATTCTAGTTCTGCCTTTGGAAGTGCTGTTTGTTCGTGGCTTGGGTGATGGTTTGAATCTGTGATCCTTAATAATTATTAAAGATCACAGATTCGATTTTTTTCAGTACCATGATGGCCGAAAAATGAGCTTAGCGTCTGACTTCACAGCGATGGAGGCACGCGTGCTGCAGCTTCAGGATATGTCGTACACGGTAGGCAGTTTGACGATGACAGCATGGGATGAAAATGGGTTGGGTGTTACATAGAGGCCACACGTGTTATTTCAATGTTACTAGCAATGCGCATATCCTTTGGTCGTGACCGTCCATTCGTTCGTCCCTTCAGCCACCTAACCAGCCAGCCAAACTTAAAACACACATATAGAGATTATACGTTGAGTCTGTTTCGCTGAGATGTCATAGGAATAGCATCGCATCACCCAGATTGAATGAGTGAAGTGAAACTCACAGACTGTGTGTACATAATGTAGTTAAAGTCCCCCATGTATTTGTAGGGGTGTCAGGGGAAGGATTCCCACCAATAGATGGGTTAGTGGGAGGGGTGATCGAAGAGATATAAGGAGAGAACGGGCGGGAAGAAGGGGCCTTTGGCGGGAACGAGATTGGGACGGCTGGGGACAGGTGTGGATGGAAGGAAGGGAATAAAGGACGAGACCCCTGCAATCTGGTGTCGGCTCCTACTTTACATATTCATAACTCTGTCCATGTGAGTTCTAATTGCCGGCTGTGGAGCGAGTTACTGCAGAATCAGTAATTGGCTTCTGCTATTCTCCAGCTGCTGATGATAATTTATCGATCCTCTTTTGTATTTTTTTGGGACTATATCAGGGGTTAAAAAAAGGTTATGAAATACAATCTGCTGGTAACCTTCTGACGAGCAGTGATGTGTTTGCAAGCCGATTCTGTTTTTCATCTGTGGGACACGTAGATCGTAATGGTAAACAAATATATATATTAGATCAGCCTGCTCTTGTGGTTGGTCTCTGCATTGTATGCATGTATGTATGTATGTATATTCGACCTCTTTCTCGCCGTACGTAGCCAACCGTGCTAATCGGAGGTGCGGGCGAAGGACAACAAACTAAACACAAAATGCGTTTTCAATCCATAAAACTAATCTCCATTACTCTGTTCACCTTGGTGAGCAGTTTAGGTATCTGCAACAAGAGGCCAATGGGTCTATACATCTTCACATTAGTTTTGTTTCTGTAACATCAAATTGGGGCCACCAACATACCACTGCGGCTCAGCCACTGCTAAGACTCTGCGTGCATTGACACTGCTTACACACTGGAAGGACATTTGGCAGCAGCGACAAGTTGGCAGCACAGGTGTTCAAGAGTGATCTCTCGTGAAGAGCTTTCATTGGCGTGTATAGAACGATGAGAGTGACAATACGTACATTGCTGGACATAGCACTGCCTTTGGCTGTTTTGGGCGCCAAACGGTTACTGTGGAAACCCCAGTGGCCTCTCCCTGTTCCTATTTTTAGGTTTTTTCGGTAAAGTCACGTAGGTAAAACATTAAAATTAATAAAAGTAAAATAAAATAAAAATCACGACGTTTCGGAGGCAACACAAGCTTCCGTCTTCAGGTGTTCCGTATGTAATGACGACTTGACACACTTCTCTTGAGATGGCACTTTATTGAAGACACGTTCACTTGACATCAGGCCGAGACCCCACTGCAACAGCCCCGAGTCTCCCGCGCATCTCCCCCTTATATACGGACCGAAGCCACGCCCCTCTTCTCGATCATTCTCGTTGACTTTGGACGCTCGCTCCATCGGCAGACTCCACCGTCCTCTTCCGTCACCTGACCACACTCCCTTCTCGATCATTCCCGTTATAGCCACCAGTCCCTTCACACTCACAACTGACTCCCCTGTCATTACCTCCCGTGGCCACTAGTGCATTCGCACTGGAGGCTGAGTCCCCTGTCATTGCCTCCGGTGGCCACTAGTCCACTCACAGCGCATGTAGGTTCTACTGTCATTACACATATATTACTACTGTAAGTTGACGATATTATACAGGGTATACAGGGAGTGGTCCAGATGTCTTGTGACCCCCCCCCCCCCCCCCCCATTGATCTAAAACGTAATATATTTTAAAAAGTGAGGTTTATTTAAAACATACATGAATTTGCAACGGAAAAACAAATGTGAGGGGTAAATTAATGGAATATATTTATCGTAATTTTTTTCGCTCCTGAGTGAAATTCTACAATTTGGCACAAAAAGATGGCATCACAATTTGATGCTAGGCTGCAATTGCATTTGACAAACATCTTCATCTCTTAACGCTACAATAGTCACTCTCCCTATCGATCTGTATTCATGTTTCCATAACTTAATGCCAAGTGTACTCCGATATATTCCAACAATCATCTGGCTAAGCTGACTTCCGCTGCTGCAAATGCATTATTTAACGTAGATTTATGGTTGTGCAATTTCCCATGTGACAAGACTCCGCTGTTTTAGGCTCCAATTTCTCTGGCGTCGATACTGTGATTTATTCTCCATTTGCCATTTTTAGTGACCCAAATCACTCTTGCAACTGGGACTCCAGTATCCTGGTCTCTTGATGTCTGCTCTGGTTAAACAAATGTTACACTGTATGTATATATTTGAACATAACCTTCCAATCGGGAACGCCTCAGTGAGCACGATGCTGCAGTTAGCGAGTCGGAAGATACCAGATCAATAACGTTACACTGGGACCTATGTAATAACTAAAAAACAACCATACTTCGGACTTATATACAGGGTGCTTCACATTTTTTTTGTTATACTTCTGATAATTTGCAACAATAACACAATAAATATACCTCCCGGAGAGGATTCCATGCAACGTGTTGACAATGATGGTGAACAAGCATAGACTGGCCTGATGAAGCTAGTTGTAATTACTGTCGAAACGTCGTACTCAGATTGTAAATGTTGTGGCTTGGCTCTTTAACACACCGGTGTGCTGTACTCGTGATGAATTGGCATGTTCTGTTTACGTGAAAACCCTTATTAGTTGGCTGTGTCGGATGGTGGCGGGTTTTAACGACACAGTTCAACTGAGTCACAGACGCACTTCTTGGATGCAACACGTTTATTAATCCCAACACACGGGGTAACTGCCCTTTAACGAGATAACAACCTGTGGTGGTGAACCACCAGGCTAACTGCACTAATTACACCGTAACTAGCTACAACGGACCAGACCACAGCTTGGCTCCAGGTCCATGTGTTGGTGACTCTGTCAGATGTAGAACATAGAACGTAAATTCTTCAGGATGAACAACAGTAGCCGGTCCCCTTTTTGTGGCAACAAAACAGGTGTTAAGATGTTAAAATACCAAACTGAAACCTTTTACAAGGAATCATGTCTGCATTAACCACAATACTTGTGGTCATAATACAAACAAAAAACACATACTCTAATAATATACAGTGAGGGGAAAAAGTATTTGATCCCCTGCTGATTTTGTACGTTTGCCCACTGACAAAGAAATTATCAATCTATAATTTTAATGGTAGGTTTATTTGAACAGTGAGAGACAACATAACAACAAAAATCCAGAAAAACGCATGTCAAAAATGTTATAAATTTATTTGCATTTTAATGAGTGAAAAACGTATTTGACCCCATCTCAATCAGAAAGATTTCTGGCTCCCAGGTGTCTTTTATACAGGTAACAAGCTGAGATTAGGAGCACTCCCTTTAAGAGTGTGCTCCTAATCTCAGCTCGTTACCTGTATAAAAGGCACCTGTTCACAGAAGCAATCAATCAATCAGATTCCAAACACTCCACCATGGCCAAGACCAAAGAGCTCTCCAAGGATGTCAGGGACAAGATTGTAGACCTACACAAGGCTGGAATGAATTTCGATTTAAAGCTTTCGTGACTGCAGGGATTCATCTTCTTGGTTCTTTCGGTAAAGTCACGTAGAAGGGAAGTAATAAAATAATAAAAATAAAACATAATAAAATAATTCTCACGACGTTTCGGCCACAACGCAAGCAGCCGTCCTCAGGTGAAAACCAGGTCCGTCGAGGCGACAGAGTCTGAATGAAGCAGCACACGAGCTTGGAGCATATATATAAGCTGGGCGCATTGACAAAGGAATTTGCATATCAAGAGGAATTTAGCATATTCATGGGAAATGCAGGAATGTGATTAGTACTGCATATGCATGTGCATTATGCAGGATTAACAGCATCAAAGGGAGCTACAGTTGCTGCTGCTGCTGCAGTTGCTGCTGCTGCAGTTGCTGCTGCTGCTGCAGTTGCTGCTGCTGCTGCAGTTGCTGCTGCTGCTGCAGTTGCTGCTGCTGCTGCAGTTGCTGCTGCTGCAGTTGCTGCTGCTGCTGCAGTTGCTGCTACTGCTGCTTTAGTTACTGCTGCTGCTGCAGTTGCTGCTGCTGCTGCAGTTGCTGCCTTATCCATTTTTAATATAACACTATGTATTATTCTACCCACCTTAATGTGTATCACACTGCTATATATTTACTATACAATTACGACACCATACATTAATCTGCACACTGCACCATGCCAGTGGGTGGAACGCGGTCTGAAAGTCACCGTAAACGTGAACACAATCAGTTAAGATCCGAAATGGTTTATTACGTCCGTTCCAATGATTGCTAAGCCAGAATCCATCTTCTCGGTTAAAATTGTCTCTGTGTTTGTATATGTGGATCGCCTCATGAACGAATCTCTCATGATAGCCAGATGGCTTGCAGAGAACCTCTGTCTTGGA